AAGTGTCCGCCGCGCTGCCCCAATGCGTGTTGTCGAACTTCCACACTTCTTTGAAATATATTTTCTTATAATTCTTAAGCATGCGGTTCACGGTGTTTTCCTTCACCGCCGAGCACATAGTAAATCAGCACTTATAATTGCAATTAATGATTTTTTGGTGCCAGTACCGTAAAAGAATCGTGTCCAATTTTGACCTAAAAATTTTTCTAACGCGTCTAGTGATATAAAATATCTTGTAAAATTGCCTTTATTTTGCTTATTTCGTATCGCATAATTGAATTTTCTAATAAAGCCAGGAAAAGAATTATAAGTTATTTTTCTTTCCACACCATATTATACCATAGTGTACAGTTGACAGGTTATAACCTGAAAAATTTATTTACTTTATAGCATTTTCCCCGGCCTCTAAATAAAAGATGATAAGTTATTATGTTATCATAAACAATAATTGATTTTATGCAACAATAGCTGTAGGTAGACGCGACCTGTAAAACGAATCAGGGGACAAGTCAATCAATGTATGAAAAGTGGGCATAATTCTTTACAGCGAGCGCTAACCATATGAGCTACCACGGCTGGTGTAAACGAGATGGCTATATCATCTGGTATGGCCGGTCTGGGTATTTATACTCACTATACTACACACTGCGAGTAAAGCTGGATGCGTGTAGCCGAAGATCGGGCTAAGTGGCGCGCCTTGGGAGAGGCCTATGTCCAGTAGTGGACTGCCGCAGGCTGATGATGATGATGATGATACTACTACACACTACACCCGCCACTATACGGTCCAAAGATGCTCACGTCTGGCACTGTAATCGAGAAACCTCTTGCCGAGAGTGACAAATTGTAAAAAATCGTATTATAAGCCCATATAACAAAGCTTTTGGATTTTATCGCGTTTCATCATCATCATCATTACAGCCCTTCACAAGTTCACTACTGTACATAGGTCTCCCCCAAGGAATGCCACAAAGCATGGTCCTGAGCCACCTGCATCCATCGACTTCCTGCATGTCTTACCAGGTCGTCACTCCATCTAGTGGGGGGTCGCCCTACACTGCGCCTACCGGTATAAGGCTGCCACTCACGAACCTTTTTTCCCCATCGGTTGTCGGTTCTTTCAGCTATATGGCCAGCCCATTGCCACTTCAACTTACTAATCCGTTGGGCTATGTCGGTCACTCTGGTTTAACTGTGGATATCCTCATTTCTAAGTTTATCACGCGGAGAAACCCCGAGCATATCCCTTTCCATGCCTCGCCGAGCGACCTTGAGCGTCTTCGTACGGCCAGCAGTGTAGGACCATGTCTCAGATCCATAAGTCATCACTGGCAACACGCACTGATTGTACAGTCTCGTTTTTAGGTTTTGAGGTATACCTGACGAGAATATGTGTCTTAACTTCCCGAACGCTGTCCAGCGGAGTTAAATCCATCGATTGACATCTCGGTCGAAGTTGGACTTACCTAGTCGGACTATTTGTCCCAGGTGAACCTACTCGTTAGCAACTACGAGCTTAGTGCTCCCAACAACTACCGACATAGGTGTGACATGGAAATTAAACATGATCTTTGTTTTGTCCATGTTCATCTTAAGACCTATCCGTTGGGAAACACCATTGAGGTCATTGAGGTGAGTGATGTACTCGCCATTGATGTTAATACCGTATCCTTTCCAGTCCAGTATCTTGAAAACGTCTTCCAACGCAGCGGTGAAGAGTTTCGGGGATATAACGTCAACCTGTCTTACACCTCTCTGCAGTTGGATAGGTTTCGAACTCTGGTTCTGTACTCGGATAGCCATCGTAGCCCTACTGTACAAACACTTCAGCACTTCGATATACCGACAGTCAACTTGGCACCGCTGAAGGGACTGTAGCACCGCCAAAATTTCGATGGAATCAAAGGCTTTCTCATAGTCCACATACGCCAGGCAAAGTGGCAGATTGTACTCTTCGGTCTTCCGTACAATTTGCCGAAGGGTAACTATATATGTGGGTACTCGTATATGTGGTCTATGGTACTGAAGCCTTTTCGGAAATCGGCTTGCCAAGGTGAGCTGGCTCCTTTTGCAGTGAAGAGACACGCTTGTGATTTGGAGGCGTTCAATTTCACATGATTGGCATCGGCCCATTCGGAGACTGCCTTTATTGTAAGATTCACACGCTCAACCATAACTTCTCTATCAAACTATATTTTAAACCGACTGGCCCGAGCCCTTGGTATCTCCCCACAACTGTACTGTCGTCTGTATAGGAACCGTCACGTCGGTGTGCTTTTTATAATTTGCCAGTGCCAGTTGCATGGCTTGTGTGATACAAAGCTGATGCAGGGAGATAAGTTGTTTTCCAACTTTGGCCATCATGCTACATCCGTCAGTGGTTGTTCCAACAATATATTTTCTAAGAAAACTTGTAGGTTAAGAGTTTGTGATGTGTTTGTCTACGTATTTTTTGCTAGCAGTGAGCCAAAACCTAAGAGCTCAATATTTTTGAATTTGAATGGTCCATTTCAAAACGACAAATGAAAACTCAAGCTTATATAAGTCATGTACTATTGGATATCCATTCATCAAATGAAATTGCAAACTTCTTATTGTTGCCCTAATGCTTCTGTATTTCTTTCTTCAGTTCTTCCCTTATCTGACCATATTCTTTGTACACCATTTCCCTTACTATTTGGGATGATTGGGGTGTCGGATAATATGGTTTCTTCAAAACTAGGCTGAGAGTTTCAGAGTTAGTTAGTGTTCGGAATGGGATGACATCTATAGGAATCATTCGGCTTATAAAAGAGGATATTTTTACAACGTTTTGTTTGTTGTCTTCAACTCAAATGTGTACCTAGGTCTGTGTATGGGAGAAACATAATATAAAGAACAATGGTAGTTCAGGCCTCGACGTAAGTTTTATAGCATGCAAACTACAGTTAGTGATTATAGTCTCTTTGGCTACAATATTGGCCATAAATTAGTTTTTAGTTTTCTTTTATAATTTTACTGAATATGTTTTATTTTCAATTTATTCCATATTATTTTTATTCATTACAATTTTGTGTAAATCTATAATAGGGTATACCTATACACGAAAATATATTTTATAAGACTTCCTTATTATATATTTACACATGTGTACTACTGTTAATGTAGGATCTACCTTATAAATAAATAAATGAGTATCACGAGTTCGATCGATCTGTAAAATTAAATATTTGGACGACAATATGAAGACCTCACAGATGTGAATAAGGAGCCTGTGTCCAATAGATATATGGGAAAATACGGCCTTGGTTTAATATTTTACTTTAAACATATTGTCCTACAAAGTACAGGCTGTTATTTATTCTGTTGTTCAGGTAGGCAAGTTGACTGATTTTGAGGCTTAGTAGCATTTGGCTCCGGGCTGCAGTTTCGATTCCCGCATAGAGTAGGAGTTGTTTTTATTTTTTTTTATAAGATAGGGTGACAAACTAGCACACAGTCCACCTTATTGTAAGTGGTTGCTACGGCCCATAGACATATAAATCTATCCTCGATTATCAAAATGCAGATGCGTTATCACCCGTGAGGACTAAGATGGAATGCCTCGTTTCCAGGAAAAAGGGTCTCCGGTTGTCTACACTCACCGTACGAAACAGTGTAGCGTATTTTATGCTGGTATTCTGTGACAGCGTGGTCCTTCCCCGGTCGAGCCGACCCATGCGTGCTGCAACTATACTGCTATATAACTGCAGTATGCCTCTGCCACGTATAAATGTTAATGTTGCAGTTTATATATTTTTAACGTAAAATTCTCATGCCAATACACGTGGTAATTACAATTTTTAGTGCTATTTTTCTTTTCAAATTTTCTAAACGAAATATATGATTTAATTATAAATAAACAAAAAAATATTTCAAGAACATGTGTAAACCGCATGCGATAGGGCAGTGCGGTGGAATGCTCCCCCGCCCCAAAATCCTTAGTCTCCGAAGAAAGGAGAAATCCTTTTCGCTAATAAAATGTATTAAGTCACGTAACAATTTACCTTTATGAACTTTTAGTTTTATTTCCTTCCCCAGAATGGAAACAAGAGGTTTAGTACAACGAGGTAACACGCTACGAGTAACTTGCTATAAAAAAAATATTTCCGAGCTTAGCCCCGAGTTTACGATTAGTGGGTGTGCTACTTTCCAAGTGAAAGTATTGGTTATAACACAATCTAACCAAACTTCCACGAGCTATATCCTTGTCAGGTTTTTTAAAAACTGCCCACAAGACGACAATATTTACTCCATAACTGTATCCAGTAACAAACTATGCATTGTAGAAAAAAGCTTTCTGTCTGACGATGGTACGTGGCATTTTATTAAGGAGAGTTATCAAGATTCGGCGTTCGACATCTCGGTCGTCATGGATACGGTACACATCAGCTCATTCGAAGCGCTTTACGATGATACTGAACTAGTTGACTTTGAGCTCCGCGGAGAAGATGGATCCGTGAAAGTACATAAAGCTGTCCTTGCAGCTTCTAGCCTCGTATTGAGGCGAATGCTCAGCGGCAGCTGGCGAGAGACTACAGAAGGTCACGTCGACGTCCCAGGCACTTCAGCACAGACGTTACAGCATTTCAAAGATTACATATATTTGCGCAAGCTGCCCAATACTGGCTTGGAGCAGATCCTGCTTCTTGCTTCGTATTATATGATACCAAAATTAGAGCAGAAATGTGTAAATAAACTGGTGAATAGTTTGACAGCGCAGAAAACGTACGACCTGATAGAGTTCGCTATGAAACACAAAGTGAACAAGCTTATACTGGCCATTCTTGACAGGGTTCAGAATAGGGGTGTGGAAGTCAAGGATATGCGTCCATTCTTTTCGAGTTGTAAAGATAATAAGTGTGAAGAATGATTGTAACGGATATCGTTTGTGTATATTATTATAGTATAGGACATACTACACGTGTTTAGTTAATTAATATTTTGTACGAGTCTTAGATCTAATATATACTCATTATTAATCAACAAATCCTAACTGTCATTATAAAATTGCGTATTTCCCTTTCCGTGTCCATCTGGCTACATCGATCTCGCGAAATCCACACGCTTTTGTAATACGACGGAATTCTACTAGCCCGTGTTCGATTCGCGCCAACTGAGCTCGCCTTTGTGATCAAGTGGCGCGGGGGAGGTTTGAGTTTGACAAAATAGTGTGCAGTTGGACTGAACACTTTTGACTTGACTCTTCTTAGACTGTTAGAGTCTTCAAAAGCGTGTTGAATCAGCGACGGTATTAGTCTATAGTAGTAGGTAGTATTATTAACTCAATATGATTTTATTGAAATATTACAATAAAATTACGTTGAAATTTAGAATCGTTTGACAGGAATTTGGGAGAGTAAGGTGTTTTATTTAGTAAAGGTTTGGTCCCCGATTATAATAATATCACTCACATTAAAGGGTAAATGCACCGTTCTTGAGAAAAATCAAAAGGAAAATCTCATAGAACTAACCTCAAAATGATAGCACAAAATGAATTTAGGGTGTAGGAGATGGTGCAGAGGGAGACGGGGGGAGTTGTAGAGTCGCCCTCTACGTCCACCTCCCGCCGGACGTGCTTAGTTTTTTTTTATAAATTTTTAAAAAAAATTTAAAAACTTATTTTGAGGGTATGTTTTCGTAATGTTTTCGACTATAAACTTGATTTATGAGCGAGAGAGTTGGGGGAGGGAAGCACCACGTATCGCAGTCGAGGGAAGCCCGGTCGACGAAAAAAATAACCATGAACCACCTTATAATCTAACCTGTCCGAGTCGCGATGCCCTAAGTCCCGAGCTCGCTTCGATCGATCTTACACTCAATAAACCCCAAAATGTTAACTTTTGTAAAAATGGATCCAAAGGGGTAGCGAAGTCGTCGAAAAACAGTCAGAGGCAGATAAAACCTTTAGGGAGCAGCATTCAAGCTACAATGATACTCTGGAGAGCACACATTCACGCAAGAAGAGCTACAGCGGGGTAATGCATAAAAAAGAGTACTATGTCAAGCAATTTGTCATCAAATGAGCACGGATTTGTTTCGAACAGACCAGTTAAAAAAACATGTTCAATTGACAGGCCTGTTGGTCTAGTGGTTAGTGACCCTGACTGCTATGCCGGAGGTCGTGGGTTCGATTCCCACCCAGGACAAATGTTTGTGTGATGAGCGCGATCATTTATTCTGTGTCTGGGTGTAATTTATCTATAATATTTATGTATTTAGAAATATATAAGTATGTTTATCAGTTGTCTAGTACCCATAACACAAGCTCTGTTTAGCTTGGGACTAGATGGCGTTGTGTGATAGTTGTTGAATATTATTATTATTATGGGGTATCTATATAATTTTCTCACCTGGTTGGGTGCTATAAATATATAATTATAAATTAAAATGAAAAGATAAATATACATAAATATCAATAAAATAAAATAAATACAAAAACTACATAAATAAATAAGATCCAACCAGATGGGGGCCCTCGGCAGGGGAGACCAAACGGCCGAGGGTTAGGGGGAAAGGGAAAGAAACCGGCGGACGATGCAGGCGGTATCGAGAAGCACCGCCTTCTGCATTTGAGCCCGGAGCGGTCCGTCACGGAGTCCCAGTCGCCTCAGATGACCCAAGAGGCTGACTGGGATTAGCCCATTCGCAGAGACGACTACAGGAATAATTTCGGTCGGCATACCACCCCACATGTCGGTCACCTCGTGAGCCAGGTCCAGATATTTTGTTCGTTTATCCGTTTCGGCTTTCACGAGGTTCTCGTCATACGGAATGGTAATGTCGATCAAAAATATCCTTGACTGTGCCCGGTCCATCAGCACAATATCAGGCTTATTCGCAAGAATAGTCCTATCTGTGATGATGGCCCGGTCCCAGTAGAGCCTGGCGCGGTCATTTTCGAGGACGGCTTCCGACAAGCACTTGTAATACGGCAATTTTCGGTCCACGAGACCGTATTTCAGAGCGAGCTCCTGGTGTAGAATTCTGGCTACTAGGTTGTGCCTGTGCAAGTACTCAGAGTTAGAAAGCGCCGAACAACCGGAGATGACATGCCTAAGTGACTCCCCGGGATGGCGACAAGCTCGACAGACGTCGACAGTGCCATCCTTTAGGATGTATCTCCGATAGTTGTTGGTCTTAATAACCTGATCCTGTATTGCACAAACAAAACCCTCGGTTTCTCCGAAGAGGTCACCGAAACGTAGCCAGTTGAGGGAGGCGGCTGTATCTACGTGAGGCTCATGTAGAGCCCTGTAGTACCTCCCGTGGAGCTCCTTCTCCTTCCATACGGTCTCCCGGTCGGAAATGCTCTGTACTGCCGGGTCTTCCCATTGCTCGTTGGCTAAGGATAGAGGGGTAAGTCCTTTATCACTAGAAATGACGTCATTATAGAATGGATGCAATGCCAGGAAGTAATGACGGAGGCTGCACACTTCGCGATTATGCATGGTGAGCGCGCTCAGGAAGCCACGCCCACCATGCTTTCGCGGCAAGTACAGCCTCATTACCGACGATCTCGGATGAAGCATCCTATGGGACGTCATTGTAGTGCGGACTTTTCTATCCAGGGCGTTAAGTTCAGTCTGACTCCACCTGAGTATGCCAAAGGTATACATGAGGACAGGCATGACCCAACCGTTATATGCGTGTGCCTTATTCACACCGGACAAAAGGCTGTTAAGCACTTTGGTCAAGCGTGCATAAAACACGTCACAGACAGCTATGAAACTGACTGTTTCATACCAGCCTCATCGATACCGATGTTCTGTGACATACCCAGGTATCGGTATGTTTCAGCCTCGGAAAGGGTTCTTAAGTTGACGGGCATAGATAAGTCTATGCCCTCAGAGTTAGCAACCCTTCCCCTTACAACATGGAGGACCGCACACTTATCCGTCCCCAGCTCCATTCTAATAGAATTGCTAAATTCACACGTGATGTTTAGCAATTCCATAAGATGGGAGCGACTGGAGGCGAATAATTTGAGGTCATCCATATAGAAAAGGTGGGTCACTTTTGTACCTCCTTTCCGAAGCTGAAATCCCCTCCCGGAGCCCTCCAGTAAAGTACTGAGAGGGTTCAAAGAGAGGCAGAACCAGATTGGACTCAGACAGTCGCCCTGGAATATACCCCTTCTTATCCTTATGCGGCTTTCCGCAGCCGTCATCCGCTCGCCTAGATGACAGAGGATCGTACTCCACTGCCCCATACACTGCTCGAGGAAGTCTCGAACTGTACAGTCAATCTTGTACAGCTCGAGGACCCTCTTTAGCCATGTATGGGGCACCGAGTCGAATGCCTTTCTGTAGTCTATCCAGGCGGCGGAGAAATTCCGACGGTTTCGTTTCACCACTTTGCCAATGACCGCGACAATAAGGAGTGGTTCCTTGGTTCCACGACCGCCGCCCCGACATCCATTTTGAGCGCGCGACATCACCTGATTTAAGTCCAGGTGACGAGCGATTCTCGCGCTCAAAATGGATGTTAGTGTCTTGTATATGGTCGGTAGACACGTGATGGGGCGGTATTTGCTCGGGTCTGTGGCACCCTGATCTTTAGGAACCAAATGAGTGATCCCAGTAGTGAAGAGGCTTGGGAGCGACTTCTGGTTGAGAGCCTCTTGAAACTGTCGGGCGAGCACAGCGTGACACACCATGAACCCCTTCAGCCAGTAGTGATGCAGCCCGTCGAGCCCCGGACTTTTCCAGTTCGGGGCCCTACGGACCGCCTCAGCTACGTCATCCGGCGTTACGATGACGGGGTCCATGGGCGTAATACCCGCACACTGACTCGCCACATTGTGGTTTACGGGCTCTGACCACAGGCTGCGCCAGAATGCGACCGTGTCGGCCTGATTTGGTGCAGGGCCCGTTCCACTTACTCTTGGTCGCTCCAATGATTTATAGAGCCTCTTCTGATCACTCTGGAAGAGACGATTCTGGTTAAACCGTGTTGACCTCTCGGTATATCGCCGAATCCGCTTTCCCCAAGCAGCTATTCTTTGCTTCAGGTCGTCTATGCGCTCCGTCAGTTTTTGCATTATATCCGGCTGGGACAAACTAACATTTGCCCCAGCAAACGCCATCCTGACGGTGCGCACAATCCTTGGCCTCCTATTGCCTGACCTGAAGCATATCAGTCTGCCGATGAGGGCCCTAGCCTTTGCGATACGTTCTTCAATTCTTATTCTCCAGGCTGGGATAGCACTACTTTGTCCAGTAGCGCGTCCAGCCGTGGAAAGTTTGGCGCCTATAATACGGCAGACTGCCAGTGCGGCGCCAAAAAGAATTGAGTCCGTCTCGCAAAGGTCCCGGCTGGCTTCCAAATAGGTAACCATCATTGTGTTCAGAGCCCTCACGACAGCCCGATTCCACTTGCTTAGGGCTAAGCGGGGAAGTCGCGGTCGATTTTCGAGAGGCGTACTGCGCGTTTCCACAATCGCCTCTTCCAATGTACTCCTCATTTGCTCTAGTTCCAGTTCCTGGGCGACTGTTCCATCATCGTTTGAATCAACCACAACTAGCGTATTCACGGCGGCATCCACATTTCCCGTTTGCTCAGCAAGTTGTGTTATTATATTATTATTATTATTATTAATTGCACACTATTTTGTTAAACCTCTTTTAACGTTACTTGATCGCAAAACGTGCTCAGTTCGCGCGAGCTGAGCACGGGTTGGTTGAATTGTGTAGTAAAATACAAAAGCGTGTGAATTTCGCGAGACCGGTGTCGCCAGTTGCACACGGAAAGGGAAATACGCTATAAAATTACAAAATTTTAGTTATACGTACTTGTAGTGTGATGTTAAAAACACTTGCTATACTTAAATCGTATTCTAATAAGAAATGATAATTGACGGATTGACTAAGGCTAATTGTTTAAAAGATATCGATTAATATGTAGTTGTTTTTGGTAATTGATACATTCAAACAGGCTGTAAAGCGGTAAACAGTGATATCAGCTTCCTCTACAAGTCAAAGATATCTACTTTTGTATCTAATTATAACACATGACCTTGAGCATATCCCGAGTGGCGCTCGAAACATCGGGTTGTATGTGTATAGTGTATAGATAAAATCCGTGAATAAAGTTTCATTTAAAACAACTTTAGTTATCATTTTGTGCTTACCTACTTATTTAAATATTACTGTATATAATTATCTTTTTTGAACTTATTAGTTTATGTTAACATCTTCTATTATTAAATTTATTATCTTGTAATTCACGATTACATTTTTATCTCTATGCATTGGCGTAGTTTTCCTAGGGGCGGGGGGGGGGGGAGCTATACCAATCAAGTAACACAAATTACTTGATCTCTAACCTACGGTCTAGTATCTCTTGTTACTTTTTACATTTAAGAATTAACAAAATAGTTAAACGTGATAGAGCCAAGCTGCAGTTATATTATGGTTGTAGCAGTAATGGCTCGGCTCGACCGGGGAAGGACCACGCTCCCACAGAATACCAGCTTAAAATAGCAGCTTAATCTTCTTTCATAACCGATTTTTCTAAACAGGTTCCCCCCGAGATATTATAAAGACGGGGAAGGACCACGTCCCACAGAATACCAGCTTAAAATACAGCTTAACTCTTCAACCGGATTATTTTTTACTGGAAACGAGGCATTCCATCTTTGTCCGCAGAGGTGGCAACCATCTGCGTTTTGATTCTTAATCGCGGATATTATGGTTGTAGCAGTAATGGCTCGGCTCGACCGGGGAAGGACCACGCTCCCACAGAATACCAGCTTAAAATAGCAGCTTAATGCTGCTGTGTTTCGTATGGTAACCGGATTCTTTTTTTACTGGAAACGAGGCATTCCATCTTTGTCCGCAGAGGTGGCAACGCATCTGCGTTTTGATTCTTAATCGCGGATAAATGTACTATGTGGGCCACAGCATCCACTTACCACGACTCTAACTCTCTAGGTAACTCTAAGGTGGACTGTGTGCTCGTTGGTTGCCCGTTATTCTAATATAATAAAAATAATTTAATGAGAGATAAATAACAGATGCCTCATGTATATATTATACAATCCATCCATAGATTATACAATCTCCTCAATTATTTTCTAGGGTTTGCTCTCCCCTTACCACGCCTAAGTCTATCTTTTAAGCCTTACCTGGTTGAAAGGGAAGAAATGTTTTTATTTTAAGATGCAAAGATAAAATAAGTTTAACTAGCTTATTAGCGGGGATTGCCCCGAGCTAGAAGTTTGTTTAGAAGCTGAACCCGTGCCTTACGAATATTTTAACATAGACGATCCACGTTTTGATTTTGTACGAAGATATAATGTTATGTAGTTGTCAATTTATATTTTGTAATTTCATTTCACAATAAAAACAAGAACTTAATAGTGTTTCATTTTCATATCTACCTTGTTTTATGTCATTATCGTCATCACTAACGCACAAGTCGGCTATGGAGTTGTAATGAGCATTGCTGCAATGGGTCACTTCGACTTAAATAGAATGTGCTAATTGAAGTAAAAAAAAAAAAAATTGAAGTAATATGTATGTTTTGTATGGTTAATGCAGGAATCGGAGATTATTATAATATACCTACTATTAAATTACTTATCTGAATATTACGCGTGTACAATAACATGAGATTCGCGTGCGACGAACCTGCCCGCTACTCGTACCTCCCCGCGTTAGCACTTGTTTGCACAGCAAACTGCGAAGATTGTTCTTTAGTCTGGTTAGCTAGACTCGCGACGTAAGACGACATGTTCCGCTTTTCACACTTGAAACTATTTGGTACACTGTACAAGCACGGCCCTATGACGTCATTGGACTCTCATGTTACTATGCACGAGCAATACGTACGGTACCGTTACTGCCTATCGAAGTCCACTGCTGAACACAGTCCTGTACACAGGTTGCCTCATGCGGGGAATACTTGTCATACTTGCCATGGCAGCGGGTTAGTTTGTATGAAGCTGCTGCTGCTCATCTCTTGACTTGCTCTCGTCCTTCGTCTCCTACAACTTAGCGTAGTAGTAGTCGATGTTCTTACACCGCCACTCAGCGGTCAGTAGTCTCTAGTCGGTTGGTACGTACGTACAAAGAAAAGTCGATATCCTATAAAATCGATTTTTTTTACACTGCTGCTAGATTATTTTTTACCACGGCGGAATTATAAACGAGATAATGATATGGTACAAATAATTGGTAAAATTAAAAAACCTGTACAACCGACTTCAATATAAATGAAATGAGAACATCATCAATGTATTCGAGGTCAATTAAATACGCATTATTAAGGATAACTCAAAAATTTTACTATTTTCTTGCTTTAAAATTTTCAGATATACTTAGTCGAGTCGTAAGTTATGTCAAAACCTATTATTTAAAATGTTTTGAATAATGGCTAGTTGAACTTCAACAATTTTAAAAATATAACGTTTGCGCTTGCCGAAAATAAAAAAAGACATTAATTTTTATTCATTTTCAAATATGGAGTGGTTGAAGATATAAGATAGAGTAGTGGTTATCGCACTGCACCACTGTGGTTACACACCAAAAGAGATTTTCAATATTCTACAAAAATTGAAAATAACCCACGATAACCAGAAAACACACGAAGAAGTCAAAGATCAAAACAGTTAGGACACCCGCGATCATCAAAGCAGTGAAAGCGCGAATCCAACTCATCCAATAAAAATTAATTAATATGTTAGGAAAGTACAAAAGTTAATTAAAACTAAAATTAATACAAAAAATTATATAAATATATGTAAGGAAAGCCATGAATTAATTAATAAACTTAAATTATATTCAATTGAGGTGGAAAATATGAAAAACTGTTATGAGACTGAAATAGTGTCTCAATTCGGGTGTTTTGTCGCTTAAAAACTCCTTACGAATTATCTCCAATAAATATGCATCGGCTCACGTTGAGATTAAAGAACACATATTGGCCATGAATGATCTGGTAAAGTCATGTAAGTACAATGAGGAGCGCTTTTACTCCTTAATAAAACATCAGAGTGAGAATCAACGCTCCTTACCATGTTCATCGGGGACAATACGTGTAAATAGTAACTGTCTTAGTTCACCAACACTCTATGACAGTGCCATAACAAAGAATGAAAACTTAAAAAGTAGTTTAAATATTAAAAAACATAAAGTTATTATGTATTGTGATGACATAGGAAAAAATTTGGGCATGATGTTAAATAACAATTTAAAAGGATAACTGATTAGTAATTATTGTATGCCTGGAGCATCCTTTAGTCATATAATGAATAAAGTTTTAACTAGTAAGTATTGTCCTAATAGCACATTAATAATTCTTGTTGGGAGAAGAGGCAATGTAAACAAAAATCAATTATTAAAATATATTGATTACCTCAATACTTTAAATGTACACAAAATTATCTTGTTTACATTGCCTTTCATACAAGGTTGGCCACAGGAGAATAAAATAAGATATGATTAAAATTTATTAATGAATAATTTATCATGTAATAATAATTTAAATTTGACATTTAATTGTAACAATTATACCAATAGAATTAATTTAATAGACATTAATTATTTAATTAAGAAATTTTTGACTACAGATAGGATTACCTATCCAAATATAATTTAAGACAGCAAATTTGCTATCTTATTGTTACGAGCTTGAGGTTCGTGACAATAAAAAATGTCGATAGAATTACCTAAATTAACACTTTAATTTTCTTTACACCAATTAAAACTTAAAACACTAATAATTAATCACACCGATTCACTTTATTCCGCTCCGAAGCTTCGCTTGTCTCGCCGAATTCAATACTTCCCCGATCGCATCTTGCAGCGCCTATAAATACAAATTAGCACCGAAACATCCAGAATATTCAAGTAAACACGCGCAAGGGGCTGAGAGTTCGAGTGTTGACTTCTAGAAGCTTAGTTCTTCGTTCCGAGACTAGATGGCGCTGTCGGTTGTAAGATTAGTGATGTCATTTTCTGGAAAGCTCCCCTCACTCTCGTCCCCGACACTAGATGGCGCTAGTGCCGGTTACATGACGTCAACTTAGGCGCGTAACACTGCCCCCTCCTAATACATGCTCGTCCCGAGCATTATCGGACCCATAATAACGCGCCAAGCGATCCGCATGGACGATCTTAGGAGTCCCTCTTGCGCCTTTCTGTAACGGCTCCGCAATGTCAAGGGCTGTCCTATCCCGTGGTGCACCAACATTGTACAATTTCGATGCTCCTCTACTACGTGTCCGAGGTCCCCTCACAGCCGCACAACTTGTACATGTACGACACCAATCCTCGACATCGTCACGATAATGGACCCAGTAAAACCGTTCTCGGACCTTCAGTAGTCGTTTAACTCCCA